ATATCCTTTGTCGTGAAGTTGAAATCCAAGCTTGTGTTGTTTCGAGTCCAATATCCTTTGCCGTTAAGTTGAAATTGGCTCTGAAACTGGAAAGTTTATTGACATGCACTTCTTCTTTGAGTTGGATATTCTTCGTCGTGAAGTTGAAATCCAATCTAGAGATGGATGCTGCTTGTATGTACGATTCCCTTCGTCGTGAAGTTGAAATCGTGGATGTGTGGGCATAATATCCTCCATCGTGGAGTTGAAATCGTGGATTCGTTGGTACGATATCCTCCATCGTGGAATTGAAATCGTGGATGGCCCCTTCGTCGTGAAGTTGAGCCTTGACTTGAATATCCTTCGTCGTGAAGTTGAAATCCAAGTATTGTACGTTGTGGGTGGACATGATTCCCTTCGTCGTGAAGTTGAAACCGTGAATGACCCCTTCGTTGTGAAGTTTGGCTTCGAGTTAGATATCCTTTGTAATGAAGTTGAAATCTACTCTCGAGCAAATTGTATCGTTTCGAGTTCAATATCCTTCATTGTGAAGTTGAAATTGACTATGAATGAAATTGGAAAGTTGTTTGTTGACAGACGCTTCTTCACTGTGAAGTTGAGCATCCATCATCAATCTCTGAATGTGCTTTTGAATCGAGTATCTTTCTTCTTGAAGTTGAAACTTGACTCTAAAAGCTGCAAAAAAATATATATATAAAATGATGAATGTGATGATCTTAAGTATGTCTAAGATGCATGCAACACGAATTAGCTTTATTTCCTTGTGCTTTGTCTGCTTGTTCCTACATGTGGAGGAAATACCTTCAGAAGGTCTGATTATTCACATCAGGATGTTGAATCCCCAAAGATGCCCCAACATTTGATGTTGAATCTTCAAAGATGCCCTCTATTGCTTCAGCACTGATTTTAAACATGAGCTTTGCGTCTGAGAACCACATGTCAAATACCAAGATCCACTGTAGAGAGATTATCTTGTTTGAAAAGTGTTTTTCTTCTTCTTTTATTTTCAAAAGTTCTGAAAATATCATTTAGAAGAGTTTCGAAAAAAATGTTTAATCAAGAGTTTTAAAAATATTGCCCCTTTCTCGGTTTTATAATTGAGATGAATCATAAAACTAGAGTTCATTGGACATCAAAGAATTAATTACACTGTTAATCCTTCAATAAATTATAGCTATTTGACAAGTGTCAAGATCAAAGTTATCTTTGGAAATGGTTAAGTAAGGAAAGGAAAAAAAGTCTCAGGTTATTGTGTTTGGTCAAAGGCTTGACATTTTTGTTTATTTGATGCTCAAAGGTTTGATGAGGTAGCTTGTATGCTCCTCTACTGGAAGTGTTTTCCGACTCCCAACCTTCTTAGTCACGCTCGGATTGTGCGATGTCTTATCAAGGAATTTGTACGATCGCCTCAGCTGTACCATTTTTACATTCGAGCCGCCTTTTCAGGTTTTCAACTTGAATCCTCCTTTGGTTTCAAGACGTTATTCAGAATTTACGTCTTGAACCCCCCTTTGTTGTTTTTCCTATCATACATAAAAGATTTTAGAAAACCTTTTGCAAATAAAGATTAATCCTGATAGGCGGAATAAAATCTGAAGATGTCTCTTCTTGATTAAAAATTCGTGTATGATTAGAAGAGATTTTTAAGGCACGTAACGTAGGTCATGGTTCATGGTTATGAAAGAAAAGGATAAATAGGCCCAAACAAATGTTTCAGGGTATTAAACCAAGGATCAATTCATTCTGATGCCTTCAATATTGTCTTGCTCAACTTGAATCTACTCGTATGCGTCTCTCTTTTGATGCTCTATGATCTTTGAGTGAAGTGATTCTAGAATAATTGTACTTTATCAATCTCATAGTTTGATGCTCGATGTGTCATTTGAGTCGATTCTCGTCCATTTTTTCTTTTTCCTTTTTTTGATTGGATCTTCGCACTTGCATTTGGTTCTCCTTTTGATATCTCCTTTGATTTTATGTCTTCACTCATGTGAGTAGATTTCTTCCACCTTGCCCCCACTGTGGGGGTGATCATTGGTTAGGGTTGAATCAGGAAAAAAATTATAGGCTCAAAAGGGGACAACAAGGGATATACATATATGGATAAATGAAACAAAGTCGTTCATCATCTCATACACAAAAGTCTTCGCTAAAGAGGTATCCCCAGGGGGATAGATTTTCAGGATTAATTTTATTCATATGAAAACAATGTAATTAATGCATGATAGAATTATTTCGAAACAATTCTCCTTTATGCTTCTTACTCACAGCATGTCTCAATTGTTTAGGTTCATCTTCAGGAAGTTGATACCAGATGCCCCACGTTGTGTCTTCTGGTATGAAGGTTCATGTTCAAGTGAACATTCAATGCTGCAGGTTTTATTGGTAAAAAATGTTGGCTTTGCGTCTAAGAAGACAATTTTATTGACTCAAAGGTATCGATATGACTCTCCATAGATTATTCTAGGTAAATAATCGAGGTATTTGTTTTGTTTTTGTTGTTTTTTTAACATGATAAGAAAGGTTTGATCTTACTATATGTCAAAAATCTATAATTCTTGAAGAATTCAAATAATCCTTAATTCATTTAATATTCGAAGAACTAAAGATTAATATTTGCTTAATTATTTCACCTTATAAGGTATCATAAATTCAGTCGTTTAAAAGATTAAACAAATATGAAAGATCAAAAACGTGTTCAAACAAAACAATGTTCTCAGTGCAAATGATAGATGCAATGTCTCTTTCTTCGATTATCCATGCCCCTGAATCCATCAGGTTTTGAATATTGCGCTTCAGTGCCTTACAGTTCTCAGAGGAATGTCTAGAGCTTCCTACGTGGTAACTGTACACAGCTTCAACATCGTAGCCCTTAGAATATGGGGACTCTTTTCTCAGATCATTCTGGCAGACTTGGCCATATAATCAGCTGATCAGGCTCCCACTGTACTGATTTCAGTTTTTTAATTGTTAAAATCTTTCTTCTAAGTGGTGTTACGTGATTAAGAACATTGCATCGAAACTTCCATGAAGAAATTTCTTGTTTATGAAAATGTTTAAAAATGAAATGTAGATGCAAAAATGCATGAAATGCTCGAGGCATTGATCCGAAAACATGCCTGTTATTATAAATAATTTTTATTAGGGACAAAAGTGTTTTATCTTTTAAGAGACAAAAATATCCTGACAGCTTCTGACATGTAGACTAGTCTTCTGCCTTCGTCTGTCACCGGTTGAATAACCTGTCGAACCGTTCCGACTTCTTTAGATGAACCGTGCAAATGTTGAGTTACTTTTTGTACTGGTCCAAGAAGTCTCGAATGACTGCATCTCTGGAATTTACTTTTTGTTGAACCTGTTTATAATGAATATGTCATTGGAGCCCTCAATTGATAGGAACTATGTGAAGTTCATTTGTCTGTTTCTTGAATTCGTCAACAATTGTCTCCAATTTCAGCTATCATTTTTCCATCTTGTTCTTGTTGTTTTTGAAGAGACTCTTCAGATTAGCAACCTTTGTCAGTCAATTCTTGAAAGGTTGACTTTCATTGTGTTTGATATAGACCTGATCCATTTTGATTCCTTCGCAATGCAGTAACATAGTATACTCTTCGATTGTAGGCACCATGTCATATTGGTCAAAGGTGAAACAACTATACCTCGGATTCCAGAATTGATTGTGACACATAGTCGCCTTGTAGATTGTCATGCATTTTTCATCTCTTGTATTACAACCCCTTTGTCCATTAATGCAAACTACTCATGTTTAACAAACACGTTTTTGTGGATCAACACCTCTTGCATTATATTATGACAATGCAAATGCAATGCGGAGAACAATGAAAAAATGACACAAATAAAATAAGGGAGATAAATTAGTGTACGCAAACAAAACAAGTGAAATTGGTTAGTACATGTAAAACAATCGGTATAGATAAAAAAATGTCATTCAAAGATGAATATAACACCTACCTAGTCATGATATCTACTACTCATACATGCTTTAATTAAATAACATTCCTACCCAAACATGCTTTCTACCCATAATGATGTATTTACAAGAAATTAATCTTAACCACATGGTATCTAGTTCACATGCTGTCATTCAACAAAATTTAAAGCAAAAGAAAAGGTTCAAAAACGCTCATCCTTTGTGCACACTTAATTTGGGTACCTACTGACGAATAGAGGTTCAGTATGACTATATCTATGGTGACCGTTCTACGGTTCACTATATACATGGTTTCGACTCTATGAGGAAAAAAGTACTCGAATTGTCCTTGATGTCGGTGCCCCCTTAGGTTACCAAACCCTCGATCCTCACCCATTACAGGTTTCGAGAAGAACGAGTTCAATTCGAGAGGATACATTCCCTTATGTCTATACGGAGAATAAATTCACACGAAGACATAAGGTATAAGAATCCCGAAGGTTACTTGCTAGGCCTATGCGGAGAATAAATTCTCACGAAGGCGTCGCTTTCGCCCCCACTTAGAAAGGGTTCAGAGCTCGGGTGTAGAGTTTATGCTATGCAAATGCCCGTGATGTGTGTGAGGAGGAACATTCAACCCTCTGACTCAAAAGGAAAACGAAACCACTCTGATAAAAACTTGGACAAATCTGAAAACAAAAATCAAAATGTTAGTATAACAAAAAAAATGAAGCAGTTACAAACTTCAATAAAATGATCATAAGTTATCTAAATACTCGAACTCATAATTTCTACCAAACGACAATATGTAAGCGTCTTATAACCTGACTCTCTAAAAAAAGTTCCCAGCAAAGTCGCCAAGCTGTCATAACCGTTTTTAGGTGGGACAATTATTTATTGTTTTAAAAACAGTTACGACTTTTTAATTTTGGAAAATTGGTGATTTTGAATTAAATTGGATAGAGTCTCCATCAACCTTTGGGTTAGGTAGGTCGAATACCTAAAAACTTCTTTTAAAACAATTTTAAGAAAATTCATTTTTTAAGACAAAAAATTGGTTTGCGTTTACCAAAGATTTGATTAAAACGGGTTCAGGAGTCGGTTACACGTGGGGAAGGATTAGCACCCCCACAGCGCCCAAAATTGGTACTATTTCGCTTACACATTGTCGTAATGGTGAAATCTTGAATCAAATATCAAGTTAAAATATGATACATTTATTAAATATTATCATTTCATTAAAACATCATATCGGATTGTACCATTTCGATCTAGCGATATTTTCACACCAGTTCTGCAAAAACGTGTTCTTGAAAATATTCGAATGAGCTGATAAAATTTTAATCAAGTACGGGAAATATGCAAAATTTTGACACAAGATTTATTCATAAACTAAATTAGCATCAATGAAATGGAATAATACAATATATTAACATATACGTAAATATACATAATAAAAAAAATTAGTTAAATCACTTATGTATACAATATATTAATGTTAGGAAAATTAGTTAAACATATACATACATATATAATATCACATAATAATAAAACATTAATCACATATACAAATATAAATAAACAAAAAATGGTTGATGGTTTTAATGTATATGCGTATGTATGCTCATTTGATGTATAAAAGGGTACACAAATGTTTAATAAATATATATGGTAAACACGTGTGTATAATATAGTAAATAGAATATATGCAAAACAGATAAAACTATAATAATAACACATACATATGCGTACAAATATGTAAAGGACTAAAAAAATGGAATTATTGCAAACTGGAATTCAAACATATGAAATTAAGCAAACTTGGTAATTCAAAGGATCATAATCACATAAATAACAACTTAAAAGACGTAACAACACTTACAATAATCAGGGTATTAATCGAAAATATTAAAACGATGGTACTAAAAATACAAATAAACCTAAATGACATTCAATACTAAAATAAAAAATGTAACATTCAACATAAATATACAAGTAAAAATTACTACACATATATATGGACAAGTCAGAAAAAAAAACAAAATGTTTTAAGATAATAGACAAACAGAATAGCAGGGATCTAATGAGCAATAAACCACAAGTTCTAAATACTAAAGATGTGACTAAAATAAATATGGAGCTAAACATAATGTTCAAAACATAAATTGCACAAAGCTATAGTTCAGTAATCATAAAGAACCAAACATGAATATGTAAAATTAGCAGCCAAGAAACTGAACATGTAAACAAATAATGGCAAATAGAAAAGGACTAAATAAAATGCGAAACGAATAAAGAGCTCAAAATAGAATGTTGAACTTTCATTATATGACCTGATTGAGAGGTTACAAACTTGGAACCCAAGTGCCATTCTCCATGGGTGTAACCTTACCCTTTCTCCTGAATCGTTTTTAGTTTTACACGCCTAATATATGGCTCCCCTCCTTTCTTTTTCCTTCCTCTGATCGATTTACAAGCCAACCTCTTCCCCCTTCTTTTTATGTTCTTTCTTTCTTTTATTCTTGCATCCACCGAAAGTTTTCTCGTGATTTCGGGGTTTAGGTAAGGGTTTACTGAGATTGGTTTATTTTTTACTTTGGCTTGTGGTTTGGTGCAGGTTAGTCTCCAACATGTCTTGGGACTGTAGTGGCCGGTCAAAAATTGGTTTCTACTATTTTGTAATCTTTAACTTTAATTTTAAAAAATTACTTAATGAGAGATGCAAAAAATTAACTCATAGATATTAAGTACTGTTGTAATAAATATTATTTTCAAATTATAACTCAAAACAATCCCATATTTGCCCAATGAGATTTTATTTGAGTTTTGAATTGTAACTATAAATTCAGTGTAAGTATGAAACTTAATTCCAATATAACTGAAATATATATATATATACTCCTAGTAGGAAATAAACTGGAAGAGTAGGGGCTCCGACCGTGTTGATTGACATCGACTCTTGATGTCTGTTGCGTGTGCTGGCTGCCCTAAAAGCTTTTTGGAATCCAATCCTGAAATTTTATATATCTTTCCTTTGAGAAGTTCATATTTGGTTTTATCAGAAAAGCCATCGTTTTATTCATGCCGTATACTCTATAGTAAAAACGTAAAGTTCTATGTTTGAATATATAAATTTAAAATTAAATTATCAATTTAAAATAAAAAGATATTTAAATTATTATAAATACAAGGGCGGGCATCCTACTATCTGTGTCGATCCTCCCTATTATAGTTAAGCCTCTGGTCCAAGTCTCGGGGTTGCAATCATAAAAATGTTGAAAATCTCAGCTCACTTTCTTTGACAAATAATTAGGTGGTATGTACATTTTTTAGCCTTCACGTGCTTAATATATTCAGGCCGGCTTTCTCTCCACTCTTTCTTCCCATTTTTTAATATTATTTTATTTTGATGTAATCATTTTGCTTAAGAAGCACATTTTATCCCAAAAGTCTGAGAAAAAAATACCAAACAAAATATCTGCGAATAATTTATAAATAATGGTTTCTGAAATGATTTAATAAGGAAACTACAAGTCAAATGTCATAAAAAGTAATAAAAAAAGGATATGATCTTCCGTTTTCTTTGTAGTAATTCATGATATCGAGAGTGGGTTTAGTATGCATACAAAAATATTTTTATAATAAAGGTTTGGTCAGTAGTGTCTTCTTCAGTTTAGAATTATGGCATACTTAAGATTTAATTGAGATTTACATAGAAATTTATAGATTGTCCATCAAGAATGACAGCGGTAAAATTCAAATTTGACCTTACAAACTCAAATTATTAAATCTCAACTACTTGTACCAACATTCGTTGCGTATGCATACAATATTTAACGTATGAAATTTGTCAATATGATGGTATTTCTTAGCAGCTTTTTATTAAGAAGGTATTTCTTAACAGTTAATTCAATAAAGGTGTGTATGCAGTATGCTATGAATGAGAGTCAACTATAAAGCCCAATTTGAACTTTGAATTGGTATTTTCTTATTTGTATATAAATAAATAAAGAGAAAATTTTTTTATTAAACTTAGGTAATTAAGATAGTATTGTTCGAAAAATTATAAACCATTTGATAATGAACGTTCAAACAATTTTACCGATTTCGGTACTTAAACTTGAAATCTCTAAAGATAATAATCATCGTTTTAACCATTGAAGTAATTAGGTCCTTGCAGATAACATTTATTCATGAATTAAACTTTTAACTAGTGTGAATTTTGTTATATTCATTCTCTTTAAAGATTATTCTAGAACATCACGTTACAATAATTCGTAATAATTAGTAATATTTTTTTGAATTAATCACTAGTATTCAATCTATTGACCGACTAATCTAGATCGGGTACTACAGAGGCGAGGGCGACCTCCTAACCCTGGTTGCTCCATTCGCAAACGCCATGATTCAAACTTCTGACATTATTTAAGGGATCTAGTGCCTCATCCCACTAGAACAACTGGTTGTTGGTATAATTTTCTAAAAAATAAATTTTGACGAGGGTGGGTTATTGCTCAACATTCCTTCATTCACCCCTGCAATATAGCATACCTATTTATCTATGACAACCGATTTAATGGTGGGTAATTGTAAAAACTAAACAGTGCGACTAATTTACTCAAGATTAAATATAAAAGTTGAATTTTACGTCTGTAAACGTATATTCCATAGTTTCAAAATTGATGGCTGGTTAAAATAACAAACAGCAATTTTGATTATAAAAAGAAAAGGGAAGAAAATGACCAGAAGAGGTGAAAGTAGGTGGATAGAAGAGGATGGGTAATTCCCATCATAAATAATTAAATAAAAAAGGTTGGTAGATGGCCATGGGACACGTTGTTGATCGATAAGGATTGCATACAAGTTGGATCTGATTTTCAAAGAATCAACTTAGCCTTTTATGGATAATGCAATGCATCAATGATGCAGTACTAGTAGCACCCACATATATTGCATGCCACTCCCATAATTTGAAATGTTCGCCCAACAGTCTTACCTAAAATCCCGGCAATGTTTTTTCCTACGAGAAGTTGAAAGAAATTATTAGCTCGTATAGGATTTTGTCGAAATTATTTTTAAAGATGGAGTAAATGCTACAATAATCGTAGGAGGATGTCGGAAACATCATGCGTTTTCGGGAAGACACGAGATTGCAGCGTGTCTCTTACCTTTTTAATTTTGAAGTTCTGGTATTTCAACTAGGTGAACAATGGAAAATACGCATTATGTTCTCGACACTATAACGTTACCCTATCTGGAAATTTAATTCCGACGACCTATAAGAACTAATAATTTTTTTCAACTCCCATAAGGAAAAAAATTGCCTACAATCCCCCAAATCTTCTTAATCTATTTAATTTTGGGTTACTAATATTTGTCTTTCAAATATTATTTTAAATTATTTAATATATTTTTTTTGTCCTTATCAAAGTTTCACCTTAATTAATCCGAATCGATCCGGGTCGCACACCTAATTTAGTAGGTGAATCTCTTAACGAAATTTTTTGCATTCACAAGGACTTGAACTCAAGACCTTCATGATGATAAATAATTATATTTATAAATTAAATACAATCAATAATTAGGATGGACATGGGATCCGAACACGACGAGTTTCAACCCGACACGACCAGGTTGAGTCGGATTTTTTTTAAAAAAATTTGGTTCGAGTCAGGTTGGGTTCGGATTTAGAGTGAAAAAATACATGGTCCGACTCGACCCAAAAAATTGTAATTTTACCTTATATATTTAAGGATAATTATAATAATACCTCTCATATATTAATTTATTTCAATTAAATCTCTATTTTTAATGAATAAAAATAATATTTTTAATAAATATATTATTTCAGGTCGAATCGAGTCGGGTTCAGATTTTATCTAAAAATGATATCGGATTTAGAATGAATGGAAGGGATATATTTTTTGGGTCAAGTGGAGGATTTAAAATTTTTGAATCGAATCGAGTATACCTAAAATCCGACCCAATCAGACCCATGCCCATCCTATCAATAATCGAGAATTCCATTTATTATTTTCACTCCACCATATTAAGATCTTATTAACTATTTAGTATCTTGAGA